CTGATATATATCGAATTACATGGCGGAGGACCAAGCTCCGGCGGCGGGCGGCGGAGGCGGCAAGGTGGCACTGTTGGGGCACTCAGTGATACCCATAGTCAACAGGCTGCAGGACATCATCGCGCATCTGGGGAGCCAGTCCGAGATTAAGCTGCCGCAGGTGGCCGTCGTGGGTAGCCAGAGCAGCGGGAAATCGAGCGTGCTGGAGGCGCTCGTGGGACGCGACTTTCTTCCACGTGGCAGCGACATCTGCACGCGCCGTCCGCTCGTGCTGCAGCTTGTGCAGACTAAGAGGAAGGCCGACGGGGCGGAGGAGGAGTGGGGGGAGTTCCTCCATCTGCCGGAGAAGAAATTCTTTGATTTCAGTGAGATTAGAAGGGAGATTCAGGTCAGTTCGCTTTCCGTCTTAATTTTCAGTGAGGTGCTGCTAACTGAAAGTCGAATGCTCTGCGTGTATAATAAGCTTCTGAAAAGGTGGTCTGAACTTATATTTTACTGTGTAAAAGGTCTGCACTGTTATGTCCTTTTTTTTTTCTTCTCGTGGTGATGTGCTAATTCTGATGCTCACTCTAGTCTTACCCTTTCTAGCGTTTTTGAAAACTATTGAGAATGTTAAATCCATCCAAGATTTCTGACGATCTCCTTGCATTGGGAGAGCAAGATTATTTAGTGGTGTCATCTTCCTAAAAGAGACCAACTTATTGATTGTTTGAAGTGGTTCTCGTTTGTACAGTCTTAAATTCATGTTGAATTTATTACATCAAGTGTTGTTCTAGATTTCATTGATGAGTATTGTCTCTTGATACTGGACCTTCTCGAATTTTGCTCAGGCTGAAACAGATAGAGGGGCAGGAGGAAACAAAGGTGTTTCAGACAAAAATATACGTCTAAAGATTTTCTCGCCCAATGTTCTCGATATCACTCTTGTGGATCTGCCTGGACTCACGAAAGTTCCTGTTGGTGATCAGCCGTCTGATATTGAAAATCGGATTAGAACAATGATAATGTCATTCATTAAGTGCCCAACTTCCCTGATCCTGGCTGTGACACCAGCAAATGCTGATTTGGCCAACTCTGATGCTCTTCAGATGGCTGGAATTGCTGATCCTGATGGTTGGCTTTTCTCTTAATATTTTTTAGGGTGAAATTCTTTTTTTTTTCTTTCTAAATTTAAAAATAATATGTGATACTTGTAGTATGGGTCCTTGAGCTCATGCGTGAAGTTTCTGATTGCAGGTCATAGAACAATTGGAGTAATCACAAAGGTGAGATTTTATCTGTGTGATTTTGTTTGTTTGGTATTCTTTTTAATCCCTTCTTATGTATGAATCATTCACATTGCTCCTTTAGTTGGATATCATGGATAGAGGTACAGATGCTCGGAACTTCTTGCTTGGGAAAGTAATTCCTCTTCGACTCGGCTACATAGGTGTGGTGAATCGTAGTCAAGAGGTAAATATTTAGTTTGATATTCTAGATGCTTAAAGTTAGATCACATTGAAAGTCCTATTATCCCCTGATCTACTTTTCTTTATATACTCTGCCATGAAACTGTATTACTTATTATTCTTGGCATTCCCTGCTTTTGTTTGTTCTGTATCTTGCTTTTTATATGGTTTACATTTTATACTCTTGTAGGCAAATCACTTCAGGTCCTTAGTCAAGTAACATGACTTTTGATTTCTCATCACTTGAATATAAAATATCTGCCTGTGAATTGTATTTGTATAGCTATGGTTTTGAGTAACTAATAAGTAGGAATAAAACTAGACTAATAATTTTCAGGAAGTATAAACTATCTAGTTGCATCATAATAATGGCTACATGATATATTTCTGAACCGGAAAGTTCGATATATATATATATAT